AACATAAGTTATTAGAACCTTTTTCAATATGACCATGTTGGGGAATGATCAAGGCTATGAAGGTGTCTTCGAAGGTTCTATCAAGGTAGTGGAGGCTATAAAAGATCAAGAAGGCCAAGCTGTAGGCATCCCGAGAAAGAGAAGATGAAAAATTCGCTGCTTAGATGGAGATGATGACAGTCGAGCTCCCCTTTGACCCCCTTTCTGCAGGTCCATCAGGTATCACCTGGAAGGAGACTGACTTCCATTCTAAACGAGGCCCATATAATGGAATATCAGGGGCTTCGGGGATAGGAGGAGGAGGAGATTTCTTAGGCAGGTGGTTTCTGTGTTTAAGCCCCATCTTTTACTCCTTACAGAGACCAAGTTGACAACTCCTGATGTGTCTCTAATTAGATCTTTTTGGGGCTTTAACCCTTTTGACTGTATGTTTTTATTCTTCTTGGGTTTGTCCGGAACGTTATTTGTTGTTTGGGACCCCTCTGTTTTTTCGAAGATGGGTTATAAACATTTCTGAAATGACTTTTTTCTGTCTCTTTTGAAGGCCCCCAGAGCCTTTTTTTAAGTCGTGCTGGACAGTGGTGTATGGACCTAACACTAATAGTGAAAAAGACATCCTTTTTTATGCCTTGTCGAATGTAATTCAGAATTTTAATATACCGTGGTTTGGGATAGGGGACTTCAATCAAGTTAGATAACCATAAGAACAAAAACGTCAAATAGAAAAAATTCGACCATGAACAAATTTAACACTTTTATCCATATTAACCAGCTACACAACTTTAATTTAATCTACCTGGTCCAGTAATTCATCAGTAGCCCCACAAATGTCTAGACTGGACAAAGTTCTGGCCACCCCATCGTGGGAAATGAAATTTCCTAGGGTTCTATTGAAAGCCCTTCCTCAATGGACCTCTAATCATTTGCCCATTATGCTTGATACATAATGGAATAATTTTGGACCCTCTCCATTTAGATTTGAACCCATGTGGCTGGAGGATAGATCCCTTAGAAATGAAGTTATTCATGGGTGGCAGGATGTACAGATTATTGCTCAAAAGATAAAGGCCTTCAAAATCAGACTAAATGAATGAGGAAAAGAAATATTTGGATATTTTTCCTCCAAGAATGCTGCAAGTTCGAAGGACATTATGGTGCTTAATAATCTGGAACAAGATAATGGAGGATAAATTGGAGAACAGAAGACCAATAGAGAGGTTAAAAATAGAAATGAAAGATTTATTGGGAATGGAAGTACACTGGTACCAAAGATCGAGATTGAAATGGGTGAAAGAGGGAGAAACTAATACTACATATACTAGATGCTTCCATGCCACTGCAAACTCTAGAAGAAGGTTCAATAGATGATGACTGGCCAGACAAAGAAAAGGCCAGCGTTTATTTCTTTAGGAAGACATTTACGACTAAGCCACGGCTAAAATTAAATGTTGAACAAATTCCTTACAAGAAATTATCTTAGAACATTGTTGTAGAGTTGGGGAAGGAATTCTCCTTGGAAGAAATTATAGAAGTCTTCTTTGATCATCCCAGAGATATGCTCTTCGACTAGATGGTTTTCCCTTGGCCTTCTTTCAAGAATTCTGGGAGGTTGTTAGCAATGATCTAATAACTTTCTTCAAGGAGTTTTACCATAGGGGTATTATTAATAATGCTATTAACTTCACTTTCATTGCTCTGACCCCTAAAAAACAAAACATCCAAACTCTTCAGGACATTAGACCCATTAGCCTTCTCTCTTTGGTCTACAAAATTTTAGCCAAGGTATCGGCAAATAGATTAAAGAAAGTCACCTATGAGGTGGTTACATGCCCACAATCTGCTTTTATCAAAGATCAATATATCATGGACAACATCCTTGTTGCTTTTTTTTCTAACATAGGAACACTCTTCTAGAGGATATTTGATGTGCAATTCATTTCATAGTAAAAGGTGTCACCTTATATAAATTTTTTCCAAAGCTAAAATAACTAAGACAAATACAAAAGTCGATTTACAAGTTTGCCCCTTGCACATCACACTATTATCATTCACTCATGCATTCACAACTTTAATAAACGAAAAAGACAATGGTACTATGGACAGCAAAATTATTGAAAGGTTGACTAGGTGACCGGGCAAGTCAAAACCGATTAAATTTTTTTTTACTCTTTTATACGTATTGCCACCCGGATCACTTTCAAGTGTCCAAAAATACAATTTGACTTAATGAAATAGTCAAGACCTTTCATTGCATGTCATTAAACGAAAAACTACATTCATCATGTAAAACTGAAAATTACATAAGAAAGAAATGGAAGTAACAGAAGCACATAATATAAAACAACGCGTACCGTTCCTCAGGTTACCCCCAAGGACTTCGTACACCCCAAACCGGGTCTCCTCCATAGATGGCGCACAAGATCTTGGTTCAAGAACACACCTCACAATTAGGGAAGCCTAGGCATCACATGGGATTTCCTTGACCAAGGATCAACACATGAGCATGAGGCAAGGACCTAGGGCCAGGGCTTATATGGCTTGGACGTGCCACCCCTTCGGGTTAACTCTTTTTTAAACCCTAATTTAGATGAGAGAAGAAGAGAGAGAGAGATGGTAGAGAAAGATAAAGTGTGAGAGATAGAACCCCCATATGTGGCTTGGATGTGCCACCCCAATGTGGCTTGAATGTGCCACTCCTCCGGGTTAACTCTTTCCTTAACCCTAATGTGGCTTGGATGTGCCACCCCTTCGGGTTAACTCTTTCCTAAACCTTAATGTGGCTTGGACATGCCACCCTTTTGGGTTAACTCTTTCCTAAACCCTAATTTGTCTAGTATTTATAGACAACGGGCTAGGGTTCTTATGGTTAGGGTTTTGTCATCATCATGAGGTTTAATGTTGACCTTTGATTTTAGAGACCTATGGGGTGAAGAAATCTCAATCATTCATTCCCTAAATCAGCCATCATGATTAAAGACATGATGTATAACATTATCCCTTAGTTTCCATAACTCCATTCCCATCAATTTTTTGTGTAGAGAAAGTAATCAATCAAATTCTTACACGTTCCTAATTTGAAATCAATCACAATCAATTTCTTACACTATCCTATTTTGAAATCAATCACAATTAATTTCTTACACCTTCTATTTTGAATTCAATCAAAACCTCTACACAAAAAAGTTTCCAAAAATATCAAATTAACATATGGCATAATAGCTATATTTTTTTTTTAGGAAAGTATGGAGGAGGTGGGTGGCCATGTGGGCCTCACACCCCCACAATATGGTGGGTACAATGAGCCCAATGGGCCCCCAATACCCTAAACATAATTTTTAGATAATACAATAATTTTATAAAACCTCCAAAATAATAAATCAAGGAAATTGATTTTTCTCCATTTAAAAATCATATTTCAATAAAATAAAGCCCTAGAAAGGTCTAAAAATTCATTTTAATTATCTGACAAATAATTAAAACATATCTAAAAAAGTTTGACGGAAATTGGATCCATAGAATTAGAATTACGATAAAAACACTGAAGACTCCATCCTCTCTAGAGACTGCATCTCACTGCACCTTCTCAAATTGACCCAACCCATCCCATGACCCACAACCCATCATAGGGGTTCATGATTGGACCATCAAAGTCAGCCAATAAGTGGAAAAGATATGATCCTAGACCATGGATTACAGGTCCCTCCCTGAGGACAAGTCCAGGGCCCATTTTAGCAGTATGCTCCATGGGTCATTCCCCCACAGTCCAATGTTGCAGGGCGTCATCTCTTCCGTACATGTACATGTCACACACCCTTAGGGTCGCTTCCAAACGGCTATCTAGTGTATATGTTGTGTGATGGTAATGATGAGGATTTAAGCCATTATCCTCTCAGGCCATCCATCACACACAGGGGTCAAATCCATGTCCCCTGGCCAAGTGTCCTGGGCATATCTCTGACCTCATCTAGGGATAACCCCACATCGAAACCCTTATCGGTTGTGCTTACACGATGCCCAAGACTACGGGTTTTGGACTTCACATTGAGTCATAGCCAGTCAAAACTCATGTGAGTCTAAAGCATTGTTAATGCCTTATCATCCAATCTGGACCATACTCCCACTGGAGTCAATCATTCATTATATATTTCTAGCACATGCTCTCATAAGGCCTTTAAATGGCCACAAAGCCCCAACAACTATAACCTTTTAAGTACAGAAAATGAATATCAAGAATCAGGCTTGGGCTTGGGCTTGAGTTATTAGCAGTTAACGTAGCAATACTACATCTCAAATTCGATTCCCACAGCTACGCTACGCAAAATATGCAGAAATTCAATATTGATAGAGGCACCACTATCAAATCAATGCCAGATGTTCATGATGAGATACTGGGGCCATCGAGAAACTGGCACAACTCCAATGATGCCCTTCTCTCATTACTACTAATGAATAGAAATATGATGATATTCATGAATCTGGATTCTCCATAGTAACAAGAGATATAGGGTCCTTTCCAATAGCAATTAATGGATATGGACTTTGAATGTTTTACAAGAACATCACAATGTAAGCATGCTAACACCACAAATTTATATGGAAGTTCCTACTTGCTAGTGTGCTCACTTGAGTTCATACAGCAGCATTCTGCCCCTTATGCATCCACCATCCATTGTGGATGGATGGTGGAGAATGAACTGGGGAGGGAGACAGACTGTATATATAATCTTGCTCGTCTCGATCAGTATGGCTATCCCCTTCCCTGGTTCAGTGTCCATCTATCCACAATGGATGGAGGACAGTATTTGGAGGGCATGGCAACAGTATGCTCCCTAGTGAGAATCTTATACCTTCCCAAATTATATATACCTAAGAATAATGCAAAAAATGTACAAAAGTACTTTTTAGACTACATAATTTTTCATTCCATCCTTAAATTAACATATCATGTGACATCAGTCAGAAAAAAACACTACAAAAATAGTACAATGACTTATTTCTTAAGATACATAAGATTTTCCACTGTTTTGACAACCTAATTATATAAATATACAAGAATCTCTGAGGATTTTCCCAATGAATATATCAAAATATATTAAAAGAAAGATGAAAGAAGGATATATTACATGGGGAAGGATGGAAAAACAAGACTTAAATGATTTTTTTTGAGCCAATTATACAGTCATGAGTTAACCAAGCTCTTCTTACTTTTCACAGCAAATAATATGGATAGCCCTATAATTACAGCAGCAACCAAGAACTTTATGTTGAACGACTTGTAATCTTTATTTGCTAGTTTATTTTTCAAGAAAATCCACATCCACTGTGATAGAAAATGCACTCGGCAGGTCGACTGAAACTTTTTGAAGGAAAATTTCTGCGACAAATTCAGAGAGGAAATGGACTTATAATGGATGAATTGAAGAGCCTCTATACGACATTTGAGTTAAGGAGAGAATGAATTTGGAAAAAAAGAATTGATGAAATAAAAGCATGTACTCTCTCCCCTCTTGCTCTCCATCAGATAGGAAATGAACCCTCTCTCTCTTCTCTCTCTCTCTCTCTCTCTCTCTCTCTCTCTCTCTCTCTCACACACACACACACACACATACACAAGGGAAAAGAACCAAAAAAAACAAAAAAAACAAAAAAAGGGGGAAGACAGTCTGAACTTGAATAAAATTTCCAAGTGGATTTTAGATCCGAAAATATGTGGAAACTCATATGTGAGAACCATGTTGACAATAGTGAGTAAATTTTGGGCCACCCCAAACAACACCTAAATTGGGATAACTCCTAACCATCAAGTGATAAAAAACTCCATCCCAAATCTAGTTAACTCACCTGACTTAACTTGGTCTGGCACATGAACAAGTTTTATTGTGACATTCAGGTTTGGGCTAAGTGTTCACTATTTAATTTAAATATACAACGGCAAGTACCAAAAAAATGTATTGTGAATTTTGCCTCAATATGTGGTGAGTGGCCCCTTTAGACTTGGCCTCAAGCTCATCCCTTTGTTGGCATGAAAATATTTTCTCCAAAATGAAAAACTACCAAACTCCTCTCCAAAATTGAAGATAAATTAACTTTGTTTAGGCTACGGCCGAGATAGGGCCGAGTTAAAGTTTATTGAATCAAATTCTAGCTGCTGCATTCCCGACAATGGATGGAAAATTGATTAAATGCTAGCTCAAATAGGCCATAGAAAAGGTTCCATTCTTTTACTCAAAAAGTTCATCTACAATTCAGCCAGCAATCCAAAAATTTTGTTATTCCAATTTTAAATTAAAAGCTACATCCTTTTGATAGAGAAAATCAACCAAAGTTAGGTTCTAAACTGAGATATGATTATGGCTACCGACCAAACCTTTGAGATTAGCCTAGCCCAAGAAAAACAAAACATTTTTGGATTTCAAAATTTGAAATCCTAATCAAAATCACCAACGTTTTTTGCTAGGTAAGCAGAGTGTATATTGAATATGAAAATACGAAGGTTAGAAAGCATGTCTCTAAATCCTGTTATATTCAAAGTGATCCCCGTTTATTCAGAACACAGCTATATCTGTTACCAGAATCGAGTATAGCACCGTTAATTGGTGAACCAAGGGTACAGAGCGTAAACCTAGTGCTGCTATGTAGGGATTTATATGGAGATCCTCCATCCTCCATAAAAGTTTCTACTCTATTCAATGATGGCTTAGGATGAAGTCTCTTCATGTGTCCCCACCTAGTGTTTTCCAGTCCATTAACATCTTCTACATTTCCATCAATTTCCTAAATGGCATGCATTTCATTCTCACATTCAAGTCTTCCTTGTTTTCATTCTCTACTTCCTCAAGTTTACACTTTCTGAGGCATCCAGATCTCCAATGATATCCAGGAAATTTGCTTACCAGTAGATGGCAAATTAAAATGATTATTGTGTCACACTTTCACATTTGGAGAGAACTCTAGTCTCCATCAAGATATTGTAAGGATCTCATTAATAAGGTCACTTCGTGTAGGGTGATGGAAGCCCCAACAGTGGATGCAAATCACATGGAATATTCTGATCAATTGAACCCTGCTGAACAATTTCCCATTAGAAAAAGCTTTGGGATTCATAGGGCAGGACAAGGTAGCAAGGATGACAAAAGGAGTAAGCCAGCACACCAGATTGGATGGCTTCAAGCAAGTAGGGCCCACCCTCTCACCACCCGGTAGACTTACCTTTGTGTTGAGATTTGGGTAGCTTGTGCATGTATCATGCATATTCATGTGCATTGAAGCACTTCTCTGACTACCTGTCTGTGTATGTATTAACCTTACCCTTCAGGGGTACTATAGTCATTCCCATACATAAATATAAGAGATTAACCCCTCACTTAAATATATGAGAATTGGCTTTTTATCCTTCAACATGGTAGTGGAGCCATCTTGATCAAGTCAATCCTGGCTTAAAAAACATTGATATAAGTCATTCTGAGTATTCATCTGTAGTAGTATTTCAGTGAAACAGCATATTTGAGCTCAGCATTGGGTATAGATCTATTACACATCCAAGTGTTTGAACATGTGTGATACCTGTCGTAGAGTGTCACGAACATATGTATTCTTATATTGTATATGACGTCTTGTAGTTGTGTACATTCTTTGGAACCTCAGTTTTAGTAGGAAGGAATATTAATCCGATATTCTTATTTCATGGGGAAATTAAATGCCTCTTGTATTTACAACATGCCTATATATTCTCGTAGGTTAATGAAATAAAATGTCTTCTCAAATTCTTCTACATATTGTCAAAATAAAGTTACTAGAGGTCACTTATTTTGCATGTAAGGCATTCCAGTCTCTCTTTCTATCGAATATCTACCAAACCTTCTTGAGTTTTTCATAACAAAGAAAATATATAATGCATCAATGTAAACATTTTCCTCATCAGGATCCACACTCACATGTGTAAAATTATTCAACAATATCTTTGGTACACCATAATGCCCAGCTGAGTTCTTAAATATGACAGCTCCTCCCTTTGACCTAGAGGTAGATTAGGTAGTGAAACCTAAAAGACAACAACATACGATCTCCCTTATGCAGGTCATAACCAGGCAGACCTTAACTTTCCTTTCCTTTACGGCTTCCTGTTCTCCTTACCCTTCCTAAGGGAAGATACTGTCCCCTTTGTTTTAACTTTTAAATAAAGCAGAAGTGAAGACATTGGTACATGTGCATGAGGAGTCTTCATGTACTTATGGTATACAAGGGAACAACATGAAAAGAGATTTCTCATCAGCAAGCAGAGAAACAGGAATAGAATTGAATCAGACAGCAATTGCAATGAACATAGAAACAGATTTTCAATCTTCTCATCACCTAGATTTGATATTTTTTATTCACATGTGCACAGCCCCATGTGTGTCAAAACATATAGGAACAAGCTTTTCATAGCCTAACTGCCCACCCTGGAGTAATCCCAAAGGTATCTGCTTCTGACTAAGTTGTGCTTATTTCATCATTTACCACATGCTGACCAGATTTCTCATTTTTTCAGATCTCGAACAGGTTAAAGGCTATTGGGAGGCAGTACCAATACCTTGGTAAACCTTGTTGGTAATCAGATTATATGATATAGGATCAGAAAGTTTTGATATTTAATTTCAGATCTACAAGTCCACTCTAAGATGGTCGCCTCTTGACTCTAAAACATCATTGGCAATCACAGCAAAGGGTCTTTTATCAATCATCAATTGCTTCCCCTTTCACTAATGACAGTATGGGACGTCAAAGTATTGGGAATCTGAACTCAAAGGTCACTGAACATATTTATGTTAATCGGCCAGATGCTGTTAGGTTCTGCTAGATAGATGGGTAAGCCTTAGTGAGAATACATGTTAGAAATCACAATACGACTTATTTTCTTGAAAAGAGGTCTTCTTTCAACTGCATATTAGGGCCGAGTGACACTACCCGCTAACTTCATGTACAGAATTTTTGAAGTGTTTACAATGATCTATTGTTTGGCGGAACACCTATTGCTGGCCTTGAGGAAAATAGTGGATTGTAGTGATTTTGTTGGGATTATGTAGTTATTTAAAGGCCTTATGACAGCATGTAAAACTATGACTATAGTGATGTGATAGCTCCAGTGGACATGTGGTCCAATATGACCCATGAGGCAACGTTGATGCTATGACTCACCTAAGTTTTGACTAGCTATGGCTCAAGGTGATATCTAAAACCCATAACCCTGGTCATTTGTGCACAACTAATTATGGGTTTCAATGTGAGATTATCCCTTGATGAGGTCGGAGTTGTCCCCAGGGTCGTTGGCCAAGGGACTGGATGTAGCCCTATGTGTGATGGTTGGCTGGAGAAGACAAGGGCCAAAATCCTCATCATTACCATCACATGGCATGTACACTAGATAGCCGCCTAGGAAGCAGCCCTTTGGATGAGGATGCCTATTGTGCACATGTGCCAAAAAGATGACTCCCCTCAACACTAGATTGTGCTGGAAGATCCCATGTGGTATCGTACTAGAATGGGGCCTAGACTTGTCCTCAGGCAGAGACCTGTAATCTATGGACTAGGCTCGTGTCTCCTTCATTTATTGGCTGACTTTGATAGTCCAATCACGAACCCATGTGAAGGACTATGGGTCATGGGAACTATTGGATCAATTTGAGAAGGTGCAATGAGATGCGATTTACCTCAAAGGATGGAGTCTTCAGTATATTTTTTATATTCCTAACTCTTTGGATCTAATTCCCATTAAATCTTCTGAAAAGTTTTTAATTGTGATTTTAATTATATTTTAAATAATTAAAATGAATTTTTGCATCTCTTTGGATATTTTATTTATTGAAAAAAATTAAATAAGAAAAATCAATTTTCTGGATTGATTTAATTCAAAGAAGAAAATAAAATATTTACTAGATTTATAAAATTCCTTTTATTATTCTAAAATATAAAATAAGGTGTGGGGGAACATTGGGACTTGGAGCCCACATGGCTCTCCATGTGTGGGGCGCCCCACTCCCTCTTCTTTCCTATCTTGTGTGCCTTATGTGTTGAGACACCTCCTTGATTTAAAAATAAAAGAAAAGTTAAGTGGAATAGATTTGATTGATTTCAAATAAACAAGTGCATAGATTGATTGAAAGTTGATTTGTAAAAATATAGTAATTTCTCTATACAATATTTGATGGGAATATAGTTATGGAAACTGAGGGATAATGGTTCCTCCTCATTCCTTAAATCATGATGGCTGATCCAAAGAATGAATGGATGAGACTCTTCACCCCACAGGTCTCCATGATCAACTGTCAAAATTTAGTCTCATAATGATGGCAAAACCCTAGCCACCTCTCTATAAATATTCTCTATGAGGGTGTATTCTCGACACGTGTGAAATTGGATTGGCCTCTCTCCCCCATAGGCAGTTATGGTTTTGAATTGTTTTGAGGCTAGAGAAAACCCTCAGGGGGGCACGCCCAAGCCATAAGGGTGGCACACCCCACTTTGTGTGTTTGACCATTGAGATTGTGTTTTGTGCTTGAGTTGGTTCCATCCCATATCATGCTCTCAGAAAGTCTTACCTAGGCTTCCCGAATTATGAGACAAGCTTAGGAACAAGATCCCATGCGCCATTAGTGGAGGAGACCCATTGTGGGGTATACGAAGTCCTTAGGTAACCTAAGGCAAGGTATTTGGGGTAACCTAAGGCAAGGTACTTCGTAATCTAATTGCTCCATGTTTCTTGATTCTTCATGCATTGTATTTTTGTATGATTATAAAGAATTGTAATGGTATGCAAGAGAATATCTTAGATTGTATTAGGCTTATATTTTATGAATAAAGTTCTAATTTTGGACACCTGTTAAGTGTTTTAGCTGATATGAATAAAAGACAAGAAATTTTTTAACCGTATACACTTGGCTAGATCACATTATCCATCTTTCATATTTGTTGTACAAAAGACCCAAGAGACAGTTCCACTAATGGCTTCCATCAAATGTGTGCGCACCCATACATACCCACACCCACACACACACACACAGACAGTTATATTAGAAGTTCCGAAGTTCAGTACAGATGACATAATGGGAAATTCATTGGAGTCTGACTTGAATAAATGATAAGAAGAATGTGTAGTTCATTTTATCGTTAAGAACCACTGTCGCAAGTACATAATTAACACTATTGTTCATGGTGCGCACAATGTTGTTGCACTTTTGTAGTTTCACATCTTGAATTTATTGGTACCCATCTTGAAGACAAACATATCTTGGCTAGATTGATAGTTTTCCATAGAGAATCCCTGCAAAGGCCAAAGGAAACAGCAAGTAATTTTGACAATTCTAGCCATTATTTATTGGTGTTTTATTGTTAAACAACAATATCCAAAAACTCTATACAGTCATATATAAAAGACTTGATAAATTTCTAACAGCCACAATCCTATCATACACAAAAATATACATAATAAGGGGACTAGCCATATACAACCCAGTGCTGTCAGATCCATATATTACCATCAATACCACAATTCATAGAAGCCAGAATGGAAAATAATCAAAAGTCCGAGTAATAAATAAACAGAAAAGGGCTCATAGAGGAAAGCCTGAGTATACAAATATTAGACTGTGCAAAACTGTGACACTATACCATCTTAACTAGGAAATACTCTACTGTGATAATTGAATATGACATAAACATTACCAACATTTATAAAACAGGACGTGAACCACATTTATCGGAAGTTCTTCCCATGTTGCTAAAATTAATGCAAACAAACTAGGCATGCAAAGTTTTGGGTTTTGAATATATGCATAAAACAGAGAAAACACAAACTTCTGGAAACTCAATAAATACTCAATATAAATATCACCTTAGGGAGCTTATTTTGGGAGGCAAGATGATCCACATGCAACCTCACGTTTGATGAAGCTGGAACCCAAAGCGAAGGATCCACATCCGCATATGACTTAGAGACAATATCATACAGTGTCTCTGCCCCACTTTCAATTGCTGCCAATATAGTTGATTCCCGATCTCTGCGATGCCTGTAGAAAAGGATAGTTTTTTTCAATGTTCATTTAAACAGTAGCTTACAAAATAATTATAACTTTTACGGGGTGCAATTCTCAAATGTACTCAGGAAACTAGCAATGATACTTAAGAAAATGAATAAAAGAACTCACAAAAAGTGTCACTCCAAACGCATTGCAAAGAGAAGTTATAAATATTCATGTATACAAGAGTACCTTTTCTGCTCATAAGAATCAAAGGGCAACTGACCTAGAAAGGGATTTACAAAAATTTTAAGAACTTTCTTTCTGGTCATTTTGGCTAATATATGATCTTAGTTCTCAGATCAAGTGGAAAGTTTACATGGGGAAAAACCACCAATTGTGGCCAAGAGAATTATTGAGAAAATTCTTAACTCTAATAACCCACTTTTAACTTAGAAATTAGACGAATTTTTTATATCCAAGACCTGCTACGCCAGTCTTGGGTCTTGTAGTAGAGATTTTTCTAATTGAGCTTAATATCATCTTCATCATATCAACATTTGTCGACAGTTGGCCTCTCACTTCAAACATACTTCTTGAAGCCCATATCAAACATTAAGTACGAGAGAACCTGACAGACTGCATCATAATCGGATATAATTTCACTGATAAGCAATCTGTGAGCCAATTGAAGCAATGGAGAGAAACATCAAACACTATCTTTTGATCTAGCTTCTTGTTCCGGCCGCTCTTGCATGTTTTTGTACCATCTGCCGGTTATTATTTTAATTATTCTTATGGCTGGCATCTTGCTTTTGATCCTTCCCTTTTTCTATTGCCAAAGCCTTAGTTCTTACAAGGAAAGCCGGGGGTATCAATTATGACTCGTAGGAATGTCTTTAACAGTGTTTAGTTAGCACTACATGGTTATATTCAAAAGTGATTCAAGAACTAAAGACATAGAAGAGAGCAATCGTAGCCAAAGGAATAGGACGACCAAAATTATGAGGACAATGTGATGGGAGGAATTATGGATTAAAATTTATACGTCAGCTGAGGAAAAATGCTTGCATTGGAGAGAGAAGCACAGTGGATGTTAAAAACCATAATAATCAAAATCATGTCCAGTCTGAAAATAATGGGGGTTTGCAAGGCAATGGAAATGTAGCTTTCCTAGATGGATGTTTTTTCACGACTTAACACATTGCAGGTCGTCCTCAAGATTTCTTTTAACTATAGGGTCTAGTTGTGCAATGATTTTCATGTGTTATACTAATGAGAAATAGTAGAGTTCCCTCCAACCCTAATTATTTACTCAAATATTAAGGTTTGCTATATTTCATTTTCAAAATAATGATGAGAGACTCTACCATGTTAAGGTTTTCTAGGGAACCAATGAATACATGACTATTTGTAAGGACTCATTCTCTAAGGTTCTCAGTTCATGGACGTTGACTCATATATGAGCCAACAAAAGCTCATTCATGGTCCAGAAAAAGACAACTAGCTGAATATGCAAGAGATAAAACAAAGAATAGTCTTGAGGAAACTACATTGGCCAAATTGCAGGGAGCATGTACCTAGTGGGCAGCATTCGTGATCTTGTTCAGTTACACTCCAGGTAGGGTAATTATTTATACAAACATAAATATTAATTAGGTTGACTGATATACAACATTGTTTCTATTTGGTAGAACTCCTAGTAAAAGCAGGAAACCAGATTACTAAGTCGTGTTTGATAGGAATTATATCCATTCACATATAAACGCAGGCCTTTTTTTGGGTAAGTTATAAAAGCAGGCCTTCCTTGAAGCAAGATGCAAAACAGGAGCCTACTCAGCAAGCTAGGTCTGGAACCAAACATGATTCAAGTCCGTCTTGGAATAATAGTTTATCCACCTCAAAAAGTGGAAGAATATGATGCCAAAAAAAAAGAAAATATATATCTAAATGATTTTACCTCCTAAAAACAAACCACTTCTTACTAAAAACCTTTTTTTGACATTGATCTTAAAAGTACGGGTCTTATCTAGAAGACAACCATACCTAAATCCAACACATACATAAAAATGGACTTATAAAAAAAACGACTTAGCATCATGATCAAAAGAGAATATATATATATGTGTGTGTGTGTGTGTGTGTAAATTCAGACGTTGTTTGATTATTTAAACGGGGATAAACTTAGCAAGTTTTCAATTATTATTTATGAGAAAATTGTTTTTTGAAGGAGACTAGTAGAACGATGGGTCAATTACGCACTTGAGATACCCGCAAAGCATCCGCAATGGCCAAACATTGATCCTGCCATGCATTGAAATTAGAGCATGCGGTGCAAGATCTAAGAACTTGTAAGTTGTTTCAAAGTAGTCCTGCATCCATAAAAGCCAAAATAACTCTCAGGGAAAATTGAGAGAGAGAGTAGATTTGACATGTATTATTTTTGTATTTTTACAGTTAAGCATGGGATATGACATCACCTATTAGGATAAACATTTACATACAATCTGTCATGCATCAAATAATTACCACAGTGCTATAGGGTTTGCCCCTCACATGTGACATATAGACAAGCAAATACTCATTCAAAAAATATATAGCTTGAGAAGGAGGTGTTAGAATGAAATGAAGGCTAGTTCTGGGGGTAGGAATGTGGCCAGAAGGGTGGAAAGCAGGGAGCGGAAGAGAGGGAATTCATGGTCCCATAGGGGCCTCCTAAACTTTGGGCTCCAAACCCGATTCTGTCCTAAACATTAAAATAAATTGGAGACCCAAGCATCCCTGTCTCTGGCCAGCAAGAAAAGACAGCTGACACTCTTGAAGAATAGAGTTTCCGACCAAAACGTCATATGCCAAAAGTTACTCTAGTGTCCGACCTAACTCTGAAGCGAAGATTGGACCAGAATTGGTCCAAGGACAAGTGCAGAGCACAAAAAACCCCCAAGGACCTACTATTTGGGGGTCCACTAGGCAGCCAGAGGATAGGGCTGATTTTATATATCTGTCGGACAACTTTCTGCCAACCATATAGAGGTGATCACTTGGCAACTTTCCTAAAAAGAAATGCCATGAGCATCTACTATGTTACTCGTTGAATCAATAATTTTCATACTGTGAAGGATAGAATACTGATTAATGAATCAAATTTAAAAAAAACATTCCCTCGACAAGTGGAACTGTCCTATACGAGTCTGAACCTACAATGATAAATTCTGGAAATCAACTTTGGAAGCATGATGGACCACATAGATCTCCTAGGTTTGACAACCTAAATTTCATTTACTGAATAAAAATATCTAACAAAGTAAATAAATAATGACTTTTTTAAAACAAGGAAATAAAAAGTGTACTCTAGTGACTTCTGAAAGGGAGTCATATGCTTACCTTCATGTTTCCTCCAGATGTAATGTCCAAAACAGAACTCCCTTGACTGGAACAGTCATACAGATACAATCAAATCGGTACAGCAGTTCCAACAAAAAGTTATATTCCATAGCATGAAAACATATTGAAAAAATCAAATAGGAAAGCTTTTCTTTCTGCAGATTTTAGGGGGAGATCTAAGTAGCAAACGAAAGCAGAACCAAGTCCATTGCTGGGCACAAATTAAAATTTTATATGTATCTCAGTTTGACATAGAACTCCTAATTAGTTCCAGAAATTTCTTCATAAAGCATTCTCATTCAAAAGTTACCAAAATAGCAATTAACTAAGGTGATACTCAAAATAAATTTGTTGTTACTAACAAGCAAATACAATTTATCATTATTCGAAGACAACATAGTATAAAACATTAGGTTCCTGTGTAATGTGACAATAGGACTTAGTTATGATATAATCCACCAAACCAAAAACTTTTCAGAAATGAATATGACAAACCTAGGATAGATCGTTAGATTAAATATGTAAAATAACTTGGTTCTCCAAAAGTGGCATCCACCTATCAGCTTCTACTCAAAATTCTCTAAGATAATTTCAGTATATACTCAAGAAAGACAAAAGACTTACCCATATCTACTCAAAAGAGCCCAGTGAAGCTCTTGGGACTTGTATTAGAACACATGATATACCAAAAGTGGTGTTCTTGAAGTACAGTGAGTCATCGTAATCCAAATTAAAGGAGTTAATTTCAGTTAAGCCTTTCTAGTATATTTCACTAAGAATATAAGAGCAACCTATATTCTCAAGTAACCACTCCTCTCTCTATCAGCTCTTAAATTTTTGCAAACATACACCATGGAATAAGTATGATATAGCTGGAGAATCTCCTCTCCATCCACATAAAGGTGACCTGAAGCTCAATGTTGACGGCATAGTTACTGGAATCATCCACCCCACGTGGCGATTCTTCTCCAAAATCTCGATTTGGCGATTCAATAAGTGAATCTTCATGGGACCCAATCCTGTAATGTTAGGAATCTCGCTTCCACCTTTATGGAAATTCAAACCTAATTTTTTTGGAATCCAGATTCCATAGCATCAAATACCGCAGGTCATAGGTGAACAAAACCGTGATTCGATCAACATGGAATCTTGCTTCCAGTTTTTAAGAATATTGATCTAATTTATTTGGAATCCAAATTCAACAAAACCTCATTTTCAAGTATATATAAGATAATATTTTTTTTGTAAACATAAACTCCAATTCCCTAATGGACTATTGAAACGTTTTGTTATTTGAAATTTATTATTAATGAATAGATGATCGGTGTCTAAATACTCTATGGGTGTTTACTTAACATTATTCTTAAAATCCGAGAATCCAAAATAAATATCTTGTTGTTAAATTTTCATTATTCGTAAATCAAATATTTTTACTCTCTTTTTTCAATCTAGAACCTCAAGAAACCTCGTATCTCGTTTTAGGCACTCGACCTTGATTCCAATACCTATGGGGAGCCGTGATTAAGGCCACCCAATACATCGATTTCATACCAGGGGAACCCTTGTCCGGGACTTTAGGACTGTTGAGGACACACTCTTGCGTTGTAGCAAAGGGATCTTCAAAAGATCTAGATTTAAAAAATTCTGGGAACCCGATCCCCCCAATTAGGGATCTCAATCACCGCTATTAAGGATCCTGACCCCACCTTAAAAATCAAGATAACAACCAAAATAATGATTTTCAAGCCAGTTAGGAATGCAATTATACTTTTAATATAGTTGCATTTTTTATTGGTTATAACAAAAAGATCCCTACTTTAAAGGTATGTATTGTCGTAGACTACATATATTCCTTAATGTTAGGAGCAAGGGATCAAGATCTCAAAAGGCCGGGATTGATATCGCCATAAGGTTGAGATTGAGATCCCTCACATTTTAGGGATTGAGATCCCTAACATATGTATTGTATAAACAATGCCCCCAACCATGGGATCTTCTAGCCTTGCACGATCCACCCACTCCCGATCGCTCTATCCCTCCCAAAGAGCTCCTAACCACAACAGCAATGCTCTAGAACCTTGATCCTTTTGCCCTGTGGAACTCATTTATTGATGAGCTCCTATGATGTGGTTGGGTGCACAATTCGAAAAAAGGAAGGAACCTCGATTTCAATCAGATTAGAGCATGATTCCCAAGAAGTAGGAATCTCGATTCCTGCAATATGCATTGCACGTAGGGCATTTCCTACCAAGGAATCTTGTAGTCGCTCCCAATTCTATACTTCTGGCTCCTAAAACACTTCCAAATCTCTTGTGCTTCAACAACTTTGGTTGGCGGCAGTGGCAGGATGGGGGCACATGATCAGATATTTCACATTCAAGAAAATGGCCTTTGTGGACCCAGTTGGCTTAGGAGGGGCGTCCCACATTGAGGTCAACATCAAACCATTTCGAACCAGACTTACAAGACTTCCTTCAATCTTTCCAGGGGCCCTTAATGGAGGAAGCTGACTCAAATAGAGTACATACAATCTTGGAGAATCACAGAGACTATGGAGGGGACTCATGATTGAGGCATTAATGGCACAATACAGTTCTTACTAGAATCAGAACCTGAAGAAACTTCAATTTTGGTGAGGATCTGTTTCTTTTTTTCCTCCTTTGTCACCACATGTATATGTCTACATTTGTGAGCATCACTTGCGAAGCAATTTGCTATATACATCTTCCATTAGTTTGTTAGCTTTCCAAAACAAATTGTTCTAACTAAACCTTCTATCACAACTTATTTGAATCTCTAACCATGTCTGCGTGTAAACTCTTAAAAGGTTTTTGTGCCATCTCTCTCGGGTATCAACATTAAAAATTATATGGGATTAAGTATTTAAATTGAAACTTCTAATAGAATCTCTCCATTAACTCCAAATGGTTCTTGGAGAAATCGTATAGGAAAACCGAAAGAAACCATGCAGGCTCAGGCCATTGTCCTTAAATGAACTAGACATCAGTTCCTCTATCATTGTCCATGTTAGGAATAAGGTGCAACTTAATCACCATTTTAGTGTATGACTATCAATAGAAATTCAGGTTAGTGTTCTAGTTTCTTTTCAGTCGTTTTTGTGGATCTAAAATAGAAAGCAATTGTAGACTAGCTGATACTGTGTCACTATTTTCTACTGAGACATTTATGAGTGCAGCATTCATGTGCAAGACAATTTATATCAACTGCATAGCTGATACTGTGTCACTATTTTCTACTAAGTCATTTATGAGTGCAGCATTAATGTGCAAGACAATTTATATCAACTGCAAACCAAAATCCAAAATACACCATGGTTACTTGTATCAATGTCAACTGCACATATTGTATTTTTATTTTATTTTTCTTTTTTGGACATTTCATTACAGCATAGATTTTGAAGTCAGAATTCAAACAGCCAGCCTATATAAGCAAACGTATTTCCTTCAGACAAGTAATTACATATTCACAATGTCTCTACAGAAGCATAAATTATTAATATTGACGATCAATCAATATTCTGAGGATGCCAAGTGTTCTAATAAACTTGCATAGACCTGTTTTCTTCTACAGAAATATATCAACTAATAGAATATTGTCTAATGAATGTTTATCCTGGATAACATTCAAGATCAATGAAAGTTTTTTAAGGACTCTGGCATTTAATGAAACCTCTCGTACTTTAGAATTATAAGAGTGTTTTATGACTATAAAGTACAAAGCCACTCTATTGTCCAGCATATATTTATAAATATATAATATTTACAGGTTACAAGAAAATGATTAATCAATGAAAACTATGGCCCTGGAATATATTTCCTTCTTTCAGCAAGACAAACTCACCCAACACAGTGATCACCAACAATCAGGGAATGTGTACCAGAATGGAGCAATGCTATATGTCCATCTGTATGCCCCTGTATAGAAGTAAAAGCGATAGTTTGATTTAAGACTAGCAATTTCCAGCTCTAGCACTAGTTCAATTTCTAATGAACCAATCAGTTTGAAAGAAACATTACTTTATGCAAAAAGTAAATCAAGGTGGAAAGATATGAAAACTACTCTAGATAATAGCATTGCCAATACGAACAAATAATCAGATGCCAAGAGATCATCGAATGAGTGAACAATTAAACTGATAAGAAAACAAGGATCACATTATCCATATTGAGTAAAATCATTAAAAAGGAGATAAAGCTTAAAAGCATAAAACCTAAAAATTCTCTATACTGCATCAATTAGTACCCCATCATTTTCTTCAACATAAAAAGCAGTTTCATCAACTAAATACCAAATGGATGTGGCTGACCAAGACAGGAACTAAAAAGTAACACTAGCAATATATATGAAATCTCACTTTCCCATTATTTCATACTGTTGATGATTAAGGTAAAGAGGGTCACATTGTTATTGTCAAGTTCATATCAAACCATAATGGGAGTACATGGAGTTTGTAGCTTAAAGTCCAACTATACATACGCATATATATGCATATACCATTGTGATGGATAATTTCATAACAAAGAGAGGCAATGCAGATGTTGCAATGAGTACAAAAAAGATTGGGCCTTTAGAATGAATCTGATGCAGGGAAATTCGAGAAAGCGGTAAAATCAGCAAGAAACAAAGCAAACACAAGAACATTTGAAAGAAACCTAGGGTTTTTTCTCCATACCCAAGTAAGGCTTACAAAAGCCAGCTTTTCTTTCTTTTTCAATCTCTAAAAAATCATGTGGAATGACCCCCTCAAGGCCCCACAAAACTCTTACATATAATAATTTAATATTCCAAGTACGAAAAGTGTCCAAATAGATAATACATTGACCCAGATGTCATAATTTAACTTTAAAATTTGTAATGATAGTTTTACCCCTGTGAACAATACCCATGAACAATACTCATGAATAATAATAGTGAGTAGTACTCATGAAGTAAGATAAAAAAAATAAAAACCCTAGAGTGCCTAAAACTCAAAAAACCCTAAAATAAACCCTAAAACTACAACTATAATATACATCCTTTGAAATTAAATAAAAATTAAAAATAAAAATAATTTTTCCCTCCATCATTCTCCCATGGTTGGAGAAAACTTGTCCTCTAGTCTTGAAGTGCGCTAAGATGAATCTAGCATCAAAACCACCTTGTTCAACCTTCTTCTTCTTTGTCGGCTCAAATATTATGCGAGGTAAAAAGAATTCCTCAAGAAATGGATCTTGACATACATATTGAGGAATCAATGATTATCAATATGGATATCCACAGACTTCCATTGAAAATTGTGTAGGAAACTTCAAACTTAATTTTCTGGTCTTTAGAGGTTTTCTCGACATCACTTTCGGAAATTAGGGTCACAATTTGCGGCTTACGAGTTGACCATGTTCTAATTCCAATACCCAAAATTTCTTGAATGCTCGACGGCTTCGATGTTAATGAGATCTTCAAAGGCTGATATAGATTAGCCCTCCTGGTGCCTTTTCTCCATATTCTTCACCCTCTCCTAAAATATCTTCACCATCATCTTGATCCTTATCATAGATCGGATTTCCTAAGAGATCTTGTTGTTCATTTGAGTATATACCGAAGATTGGTGGTGAATCTCAATCTACAACTTGCTGATTTTCAATACAATCTGCATCAAAATAAAAAATTTCATCATTCAAATCGAAAACCCTAAAGTTATGCTCCCAACGTCTGGGTCTTCTGTCACTATCCTCATCACTTAACTCCCCACGTGGAGCGCGAAAGTGAAAAGGCTCGTACTCGAATCCCACTGAAATCATTTGTTTCCATTGTTTAATGGTACCAAGGTGAGCCTTGAAAATGTTACATTGTCAAGGAGAGACTTCAAGAACCCACAACAACAAAAAACACAAACAACTTATTTCAACCAGCTCAAAGAGTACGAAATTTTACGAAACAAAACGAGCTCAAGTACACTAAAGGAAAGCATGTGGGAACATCAGCGGCAATAAGAGAGAAGTAGAGGAAGAGCCTAGTTTTATTAAGAATGACTCATATTAAGTAGGAACGGCAATGGTCCGGCGACTGGCCCAGCCCAGCCCAGCCCAGCCCAGCCCAGCTTAAATAGTGGCCAAAACCTTATATGTGGGAAGCAGGCTGGGCCTAGGCTTCAGTTTCAGGCACAAACTTTAGTAGGGTTGGGCACCTATCATGCAAATTGATGTTCAAGAAGGCCGAGACAGCTGCCAAGGCGGTGGGGGGTTTGAGCCGCCAGGTGCTAAGGCAGGCGCCCAGACCCAAAGGCGGCCTTCATTGTCTTTTTTTTAAAAGTTGGATCGCCACACCTCCCCCTATTTTATTGTATATATAATATAATAATAATCACAAATTAAAACTATCTTTTTAGTTTACTAATAAATTAATTACTATCACATGCAAAAAGCATTTTCGAGAAATTAAGAATTACAAATTAATATTATCTTTTGGTTTATTGATAAACTAATAATTATTGTTACATGCAAAGAGCATTTTCGAGAAATGAATAATTATGAATTCATACTATCTTTTGGTTTACCCATAAATTAATAATTACTGTTATATGCAAATAGCAATTTCGATAAATTAATAATTACATATATATATATATATATATATAATTACAAATTAATACTATCGTTTGGTTTACCAATAAATCAATAATTACTGTTACATGCAAAAAGTATTTTCGAGAAATTAAAAATTACGAATTAATAGTATCTTTTGGTTTACCAATAAATTAATAATTACTATTACATGCAAAAAGTATTTTCGAGAAATTAATAATTACGAATTAATAGTATCTTTTGGTTTACCAATAAATTAGTAATTACTATTACATGCAAAAAGCATTTTCGAGAAATTAATAACTTTGAATTAATATTATCTTTTGGTTTACCAATAAATTAATTGCTATCACATGCAAAAAGTATTTTCGAGAAATTAATAACTAGGAATCAATACTATCTTTTGGTTTACCAATAAATTAATTACTCTTACTTGCAAAAAGCATTTTTGATAAATTAATAATTACCAATTAATATTATTTTTTGATTTACCAATAAACTAATAATTTACTATCATATGCAAAAAATATTTTTGATAAATTAATAATCAATAATTATTAATAAATATGCATTAATAATTACGATTTTTTAAAAAAAGTTCGCCTAGGATTGCTCGCCTTACCCCAACCTAGTCGTTTTTCGAAAAAGTCTACCTAGGTAGCAGGGCAGATGACTTTTCAAAGACTGCATGCAATTTAAGGCCTGGTATGACCACATAAAATAGAAAAGCGTGGCCCAGCCTAGCAACCTGAAATTGGGCTTGGCCTAGGTTTAGGACTTGAAGCCTGGCTCGAACTAGGGTTTTAGGCTGCAGGGCATGGCCTGGGCCAACCCCAACCCAGACCATTATTAGCTCTGATTTTAAGATAAGCATTTTATGCTTGGGTATCACAGTTGTTGAATAAGTGCAAGGGCAATTTCTTAAATTATTTAGGGACATCTATATATTTCTCCTTCTATTTTATATCTTCACATGTAGACCTCAATTTTTTGATAGAATTATTCCCATCTTTAACACTCCTACAATATCTGAGCGGCCTAAACTAGGGTTGTCCTGCAAAAAACTTCGGAAGCGTGGTTAGCTCCTTTTTTGTTTCTTTCTTTTTCTTTCATTTTCTCTCTAATCTTCGACCTCTGTCTTCAGAGGATCCCCCTTTTCTCTCTTGCTCTCTCTCTCACCTGATTTCTCATCATCATCATCATCATTATCATCATCACTCTCTAATCTTCTTATGTCCCAAATGTCGACAGCATAACAATTGACTTCACTTCTACCATCTTCTCATGAGTGATGATAAACATGTCATTCTCCATTCAGAATAATACTACAGCTTCAGCTAGCAGCTCCCCGAAAACAAATCTTATTTCACTAGGATGCAACAGATGAGCAACCTCATATTAAAATTTTTGGGCCAATGCCATAAGCATGGATGTCATTGTTCAGTTAACAATGCAAATGCCTCTAAGTCTACCAACAAGAAAAGTTACATGTAAGAGTGAAGACTGCTATGCCATCAAATCAATCAAATGGGCCTTTGAAAGTCAATCACAGACTTGCTTACTGGACTTTTTGGTTGATTTTTGTTCCTCTAGCAAAATAATTTTATTTTTCATTTCAAATGATGACACCAAACACTCCTTTCTAGTTGCAACTTACTTCAATGTGGTACTTCAAAAACACAACTGAGCAAGTCTACTATTTCACATAACTTATATTGTACTTTTTTCAATAATCAGAGAAGTCATATCATCAATTTAAGCGTGAAGTTGAAAAGCAGCCTTCATGTCCATAGGACAGCTAGTCGATATGAAATTTGTCCTAAACTGTTATTAGTTCATGAAATTAAACTCCTCGAGAGAGTGTCAATTATATTATCAAACAACATTAAAACGTTGAATGTCAAAACTTAAAAGTATAAACAATGGCATGAATAAAACAAACATATTATATCAATTGTGAACTCAAATCATCAGAACACAAACCTAGAAGAACCCTAGAAATTCTGATATGAAATTTGTAAAAAAATAAGGGTTTTACTCTCATTGGATCCAAAGGCTTTCCCCCTACCCTAAAAACCTGTCTGTGGGAAGATTTTCTGCCCATGAGTGACATTTCACCAGGCGTCTGCTTAGTGACATCCACCTGAGGTGGCATATCAAGCAGGCTTTATGGTCGCCTTGCATTGAGGTGGTCACCTTTGACCACACATTACTAAAAATAACATAAATTATTTCACAACTAGGTTTTAAAATAATTTTACTATTGTCATCACCAAATCAAGCTCTGGACATAAACTTTAGTAAAACCATCTAAATGAAGAAAACGAAAACAGGGAATACCGGTGCAAATATGACTTCCAACTTTTGATCAGAGACTTTGATCACTTCGCCACCTGATAATGGGGTGTAACCAAGAGACCAAGAACCTAATACGACAAAACCACATACTGTTAGTAGGGAAACAAAGTATCTAAGAATGAAGACCCAACAACTGTTCATAAAAATTTCACCAGGACCAATGATACTGGGAAAAAATCCTGACTAAAGTTTCAGTCATATAACCTCCTCATAAACCAGCTGTAGGGGCACTGATATACTTTAAGCTCTGGTAGTTTGATTGACTGTAATGCAAATCTACCATTGCTATTCTCAGTTCTAATATGCAACATTTCAAAAAAACTTTTATCAGGTCAGTGTTTATAAATAACTAAATGTTTTTCTATTTTTTATTTATTCTGTAATTATAAGTAAATAATATTACAAGCACAAAAGCTCAAGTCAATATCTACATCTGAAAGAACTTAAAAATGGCTGTACGAATTGGTTCATTAGCACACTTAACTTCAAAAACCTTCATAAGAAAATTAAATAACCTCATAATATGCTTTAATTTAATCAGATCAAGTAAAATTCTCATATTTTGAAGCATTCACTGCTTGTAACTGCTATGAAACACTTTATAGATTTGGAGAATTGTCACTTGTAGTAAGATAGCCTTAATACGAACATAGCATTGATACATATTGGATACATGCAACATTTGTGTATTCTTCCTTTCTTTATTTTGAACTGAAGTATTTTAGCCATATGCAATGTTCAAGATAGCAGATTCGGCCGCCTAGGTGGGCACCAAGATACTTGAAGATGATATTGAGGGATTTTTGTTGGCTGCTAAACCTCCCTAATTGGGTGCATGGAACATTTATTGTTTCTTAAAAAAAAAGATCATTCCCTACTTTTTGGGCGTGTTATTTTATTGTGGAGTTCCCACTTAAACGTATATGACTTTGAACGTGAACTTCACTGACTAATCAAACTTGGATGGAAAGGTGACCTTTGGTTGCCGAAAAACCTCTTTTGGAAGCACTTTAAGACTCAAAAAGTTTTTGGATTGAATATTGTTCGATTTTGCAAGACAATGAAAAGTTCAATTTCTTTTCTTTTTTTTTATATTCGAAAAAAATCACAAAGGCTTCTTTGTTAGGGTGTTTTTCAAGCAAGAAATGAACGCAAATTGGTTTTGGGGAGCATTTCCCCCAACCCCCCCCCCCCCCCCCTCCTCTCTTCCTTTTCCCCCCTCTTTTGTGGGGGAAATGACACATTTTCGATTGGCCAAGGGTGTTTCACCGGACCACCTAGGCGGCTGGGCAATCCGTCTAAGTGGACCTGCCGCCCCAGTGCATCTGGGAGAATGCCCGAGTACCAACCCGAATGGGCCCCTCCTAGGTCCTACTCAATTCGGTTGGCCTCCTAGGCCACCTAAAAGGCCAGGCTGCAAAAATTTTGTTCACTGGCCCCATGTATTGAGAATCATTTGCACAGTTCTTACATACTTATCTTCTTTATCGTACATCTGAACTGCAGCATTTTACTCCATACCTCAAATAATTCATTCATCATTTCCTTTGACAAAGACACATGAGCATGATGTATCGGTGCTTAGAGAATCAGTGAATCAACTCACTTCAGGCACTCACTGAATTTCCAGGACTCATAAAACTTCTTATACACAATATTTGATTTTTGTTTTCTTTTTTATATCTCAATAGGACAGTGAGTCAAGTCAGCCAGGATAAGGCCAAGGCCAAGATCAGGAATAGCACACATAGATATGACAGTACATAGTTAAGGGAACAGTGGGGGTAGGGTGGCGTTCCCGCTCCCATGGTTCCTCCAAGGGATCTCGTAGAGACCCCGGTTTTTCAATTTTGGGTTCTCGCTCCCAAATAAAAGGGATCCCGTTCCAACTATTAGTGGATTCCAGTAGTATTTCGAAATAGATTCCCGCTCCCATCAAACATGGTCCAAGGTTTTGGTACATTATAATCTTGAATTCTATATATGTGGAATCTACTTTCGAAAACAGATGAATCCAATTCCACAGTATTCCTAGACCTCTCTCTCCCCCTTTTATATAAGTGGCAACCTTTATAACAGAGCAACAAATTCAGTATTTATGCTCTGATCAAATACCAGATTATCCAATAAAATGTCAAATCAAGACAAAGTAACATTCATATTCTGATCCTAAATCCAAATTTATCACATAAATATTAGAAATTCAATGCATCGAAACCCATGCAACATTTGTGTTTCAATCCAAATACCTGATTATGGCATAAATCACAAAATATATACGAAAAGCAACAAAAAAAGCATTCATCTCATCACTATCTCTCCACTCTCACTCTCTCTCCTTCGCTCTGACTCTCACTCCTCCCTGCACACACCTCTCTCTCTCTACTGCACACCTCTCTCTACTCGCCCACACACACAACTCTCTCCCTCTCTCTACTATGCACACACAAAACTCTCTCTCTACTGCACACACAACTTTCTCTATCGTGTACACGCACACCTCTCTCTCTACTGCACACACACAACTCTCTCTACTGTGTACACACACACCTCTCTCTCTACTGCACACACACTCAACTCTCTCTCTTTCTTATGCACACACAAGAGTCACAGAATACACAGGGAAAGAGCACAAGCGCACAAGGAGGAGCGACCAGATTCACCAGAATGATCACCACAAGCTAATGGCAAAAGAGCTATGTGGGCTTGTTTTGGGTCTATAGAGGGAGGGGGGATATGGGCGGGGAAGAGGGAAGGTGGGGGGGTGTACGTGTTGGTGATCTAAGTATGTAGTTGATTACAATAATTGAAAAATCCAATTTGTGCACTTGTAGATTTTTTTTTTTTGGATTTATGTGTAAGGAATATCTTGGTGATTCGAGGGATTGTGTTATTAAAGTTATACCTCTAATGGGATTTGGAGTATATATAAGAAGGATGGAGTACATAAGTACACTATGGACTATTATTTAGCATTTATTAAGCAGTATATAAGCACCTGATGTATCAAATTTTAGTAATATGCATTTACTTAAGTAGGGTATGTCATACACAATAGATTTTGGACTAAGGACCACGGACTAAGGAGAAAATAATCCATACTCTTTACATTTATCAAGCATATAGGCATGTGTTGCATAAAAATATGGTTTGATGCACTTATTTAAACATAGGACGTCATACATATTACATTTTGGACTATGGACCACAAACTATATAGTAATGTGCCTAAAATTGTTTAATATTTCATCAAGTAACATGTATGCCTAGAAATAGAGCATTATGGATTTATGTAATTAGAAATTGTCATACGCTCATATGTACATATTGGATTTTGGAGCATGGACTATGGACATATACAGTAAAGTTGTTCAGTAGTATTTAGCATTTATCAAGTAGCATGTAAGCATGTGATGTATAGAAATGGGGCACTATAGATTTATTTAACTAGAGGATAGCATACATATTGAACTCATTCCCTTAACCAATGGTAGTTGTGGACCTTGGGGCCAATCAACTGAAGACCTTGATTCCTATACTTGAAGAATCTCAATATTAGAACAAGAGGAACCCCATTATATGACAAATGGAAACCTCGATCCCTTAACCAAGGAAACCTGTACTAACTCTACTTGACAACCTCATTTAATGTGCAGTGGAGCTTAGATTCTTGCCAATCAAAACCTCAAATCTCGCTCCCAAAAACCTAAGGATCTCGTCCCCTCTCTTGTTCATTGTATGGACGCCGATCCCAAACCCAGGGAACTCCCCGCAATAGGGCAGTTCGGCGATTCCCGAACCGATCCCGCTCCCGTCTCCAACAACTATGTGATAGTACCTATCCCTAGTTTTGATGATTAGGGGTAAGTTGCATATTCCAATCAGTAATTCCATCTGAAGAGCAGCAAGTATCAAAATGCAAAATACATCAGATACAAAAAACTAAATTACAACCATGGCCTCATAAAATGTATAAGCAATATGAGCATTACGATAGAGTAATACTAACACAAGCAATTCCCATTAGAGACTCCCAATTTCACATTGAGATAGAGTCAGTTACTTCCTGTATTGGTCGGGGACTGCAACAAGCTATCAATTGATTAAACTTTTGGGTTGGCGGAAAACATAATTTTAGATATGCCATCTATGTAATTTGCTCCAACGTAACATCGAAACCTTAAATTCCCTTTCAAAATTGGAAGATGTACTGGCACATATTTGCATATCTTTTTTATGAAGAAGCCTTTTACAACATAATTAAGGAACTTTTCAAATTCACTGCTTACTTTAGTAATTAAGCAGAAAACAATAGCGCTTTTAAAGCTGACAGTTAAAAGCACAAGTCCTGTGAATATACGGGATGAATAATCAAATATAAATGCTTTCAAATTCAGAAAAGGAAATTTTTTTTGCATGAAAGAACACTGAAAGAATCTTGCATTCGACAGGAATGCCATCTCATGTACATGCATGCATGCACAAGGATATTTTAAATGTGTGAAGATTTAAAATGTAAGACAAGAGGAATAACATTTACCGATACGTTTCATGGTGTTTTCATGTGCCAATAGAGTAGCTTCGGGGTTGCATTTTTGAATAACTGACAAACCTACAATCAAGAAGTTCCAAGTGCATGAAGTACTACTTGAGCTCATAATGAATGAAAACATGCTAATGTTTATATGAAAACAGTGCCGCAAAACCATCATCTTTCTGACAGTGCCATGAAAGCATTATCTTTCTGATATTTTTATGACAACATTATTTTGTGATTCAGACCTAAACCAGAACCAAGAATAACATATTAATCTATAAAAGGAAACAATAAGTCAAAAATCTAAGGTAAAGTGGTTTATGCTTGGGGGACAAATAACTGCATTTGCATCCCCCAAGGCATCCCGCATCCATCTTAGAGATAGATGTGGTGTTGTGGTCTCTCCAAAAGAAAAAGGAAAAAGAAAAATGAACAGTTAGCATTTTCTTTCAAAAACTATCATTTTTTTAGTTTTTTAAAAGTTCTTGTTTTTAACACATTCATGTTCTCCATATTAGAGATTATACACACCTTAAAGATTAGATCCAAAATCCATCTCAAAAATAGGTCATGAAGAGGAGATGCATATCTACATATGAATCCTAGGACTCACAAAAACCGTGTCCAAAATCTAAAGAAGCTAGCAAGTGGACAACTCTTACCCTCTACATGATCATAATGATGATGAGTTACAAGGACCAGTAACTTTCTTGGCAATGCAGCCACAATTTCCTCAAGCTGCACCATAAAATAACCAAGCACATCATTGCCAAGAACAAAAGAAAGAAAGGAAGAGAACCCAAATGAAACCAAGAACATAAATAACCAGTGACCATGCCACCTCAGAAAAGAGTCATCCCTATGGTTGGCAGTCATTTGAAAGACTCAAAACATTATTCACTTTGTCAGATCGAGCCAAGTATTATACATCATACGCAACCATCAAGAACCTTCCTCCAACAACAACAAGCAAAATCGAATGATGCAACTACAAGTTCAAAAAATCAAGCATATGCCTTGCTAATTATAAGAATTTAGTGGAAACAGGATTTGAGTCCCACTTTAATGCAAGCATCAAATAAACAAATTCCCATGGGGACAAAAACAAAAAATAAAACAACATGAAGAAAAATAAAAGAAATGCCCCTGAGGCCCCCTAGATTGCGCATGCTGGTACTTATTAAGCTCGAGTATAAGGATCTGTGGAGGCTTCGCCATCTAATGACTGTTGAAACAGGTCATAAGCCTCGTAAGCATGTCCATTGGTGACTGGTTCATCAAAATGCTAGGAGACTATCTCACTAAGATAAATATTCTACCTAACAAATTTAAGATCAACATCACATGCCTGCTTTACTCACAAGAAGCTAAGTTTTGCAGCAATGTAGATGGCCCTACTGTTCCACTTCATTAGTCGCATGGTACGCTGAAAGCTAACTATCCCTTTCAGACCCAGTTGTACTACTATAAAATATTGTGCAGCCTCAAATTTTCAAGTTATTAAATCTAAAGAAACTCCTAACCATTGGACTCACATCTTCCATCAAGGTATGGACCAATTATGTTAGGAACCTTTATCGACGCCTTCGTTTGGTTGCATTCCATTCGGCCCCCTATCTTCCCCAACACTTAAAGTCTAAAAATCTCACTACAGCCCAAAGTTTTCTTATTTCCATTTGTTATCCTGAAGTATGGATTCATTAAATGAATAAGATATTGCAACCTACACAACACATTTCCTCAAATTTCTGAACTTCATGTATCTAGAATTGAACTCAATGATCAAGATAGCATTTGATATTTCCAAGATACAATTGGTCATACATGGCCAATTTCTCTCAATGGAAAATGAACTTTACAATCCGGTATCTGACATAATAAAGGAAACTAATTCAAGTCCATGAAAGAGAGCTTGACCAGAAACACATTTTACTGATCATACATACAGACCTAGTGAATGACTTGATGCATGTGAGGATTGACTTCTTCGTGGTTACTTATGTGGAAAGATTTGGCAATCTCCTATACCATGTTTGGTTGGTTAAGATGATCTTCCAAACACAAAAAGGAAAACAGGCAATAAGTCGACATTTAAAAACACACACAAAAAAAAACAAAAAAAGGGGTAAACAGGAAATAATGGAACCATAAGTATACTCTTCTTCTGAAGTTGCCTCTACAAACAAAAGAACACTATGAAAGTGATGACTGAAGGTGAAAGGTGGACAATATGATCTAGCCAAGTACATACAATTAAAATTTTCTTCTTTATTTTATTTATACTAGCTAGAACACTTACAGGTGAAAGGTGGACTATGTGACCGAGTAAGTCAAGAGTCCAAATGTAGTTTTTACTCAATGAAAGAGCCAAGACCACTCACTTGCATGTCATTTAAGAGAAAATTACATTCATCGTGTAGAACTGAAAATTACATAAGGAAGCAATGGAAGCAATAGAAACACGTAATATGAAATACTGCGTACTTTACCTCAGGTTACCCCCAAGGACTCTGTAAACTCCAAACCAGGTCTCCTCCACCAATGGTGCAGGGGATCTTGGTTCAAGAAATACACCTCACAATTTGGAAAGAAGAGGCAAAAACCTTAGAGAGCATCACATGAGATTTCCTTGACCGAGGCTCAACTCATGAGTATGAGGCAAGGACCTAGGGCTAGGTGGCTTAGGCGCGCCACCCCTTAGGGTTAACTCTTTCCTAAACCCTAATTTGGATGAGAGAAAAAGAGAGAGAAGGGTTGAGTGGGGCATGCCCCCTTTGGTTGCTTAGAGAGAGATAAAGAGATGAGAAATAGAACCCACATAGCTAGTATTATAGACAAGAGGCTAGGGTTTCTAGCGATAGGGTTTTGCCATCATCATGAGGTTTAATCTTGGCCTTTGATCTTAGAAACCTATGGGGTGAAGCCATCATGATTAAAGGAATGATGTGAAACCTTATCCCTCAGTTTCCATAACTCCATTCCCATCAAATATTTTGTGTAAAGAAAGTATTTAATTCATACTATTTAATATCTCACACTTTCTTATCTTGATTCAATTCAAATCTCTACACCTTAAGTTTTCAAAAAATTTAAATCATCACATGGCATATAACTAAATAAGGAAAGTTGCATGGGGTGGGGCGCACCACCCATGTGGTGTCCATGTGGGCCCCACACATACATTGGTGGGCCCATTGAACCCCATTGGGCCCCCAATATACTAATATTAATTTTTAAATATTAAAACAAATTTTACAAAACCTCCAAATATTTCATTTTTCTTTGATTAAAATAAATCCAAAAAAAAAAATTCTTATATAAAAATCATTTTTCAATAAAATAAAATACCCTGAGAGGTCTAAAAATTCATTTTAATTATCTATAAAATAATTTAAACTTATTTAAACATATTAAATAAGATTTGATGGGAATTGAATCCATAGAGTTAGGATTATGACAAATATATTGAAGACGCCAACTCTAGAGACCGCATCTCACTGCACCTTCTCAAACTAACCCAACAGATCGACCCACAACTCATCGTAGGGGTTCATGATTGGACCGTCAAAGTCAGCCAATAAGTGGCGAAGATGAGATCCTAGACCATGGATTACATATTCCTTCTTGAGGACAAGTCCATGGCCCATTTCAGCAGTATGCTTCATGGGTCATTCCAATACAATCCAGTATTACAAGGAGTCATCTCTTCCATACATGTACACGTCACACACCCTTATTCAAAGAGTTGTTTTCCGGAAGGCTATCTAGTGTACATGCCGTGTGATGGTAATGATGATGATTTAGACCCTTGTCCACTTAGGCCATCCATCACATACAGGGGTCAAATCCATGTCCCCTGGGCAATTGTCTTGGGCACATCTCTGACCTCATTTAGGAATAACCCCGCATCGAAACCCTTATCAATTGTGCTTACACGATGCCCAGGACTACGGGTTTTGGACTTCATATTGAGTCATACCCAACCAAAACTCATGCATGTCTAAGGCATTAACAATGCCCTACAGTCCAAGCTGGACCATACTCTTATTGAAGTCAATAATTCATTATATATTTTCAGTACATGCTCTCATAAGACCATTAAATGGCCACAACACCCCACCAACAGGTAGGGCTCCCAATGGTTTGGGCCGGGCTTCAAGCTTCTGGTCCTGTCCGGCCTCAAGGTTCCAGTCCATGCCGAAACTTTGGGCCCTTTCCAGACTTGTTTCGGGTCCAAAATGAAAGAGCGGTCATTTTTCAGGCCGAGCAGGGCTCTTACGGGCCAGCCTGAAATGGCCCAAACCAAAAATTCTCTCTTCTCTCTCTTTATGGGTCTCTCTCTTTCTCACTCTCTCACTTGCTGCTACTCTCTCTATAAAAACCTAACATCTCTCTACACTCTACCACCATCCCTTATTGTACACTTCTCTTATCTCTCTCTCTCTCTCTCTCTCTCTCTCTCTCTCTCTCTCTCTCACACACACACACACACACCCTAAACACCACATACTCTCTTTAATCTGCTGTCTTACCATGGCTTCCTCTTTCTCTTCTTGTTCGGCTTTAACACTAGTTATTTGGGATTTTTTATTATGACCTCTAAGGCTAATTTCTACTCAAATTTTGACATAACGATATGGCTAAGTTATGAAACAATGGAGAGCTCCTTCAAGTCTCATTAGACAAGTACTCTAGCTTTGGTTTTCAGTCTAAGAATGAATACCTCTTTGGTAATAGTCATATGCGCTTGAAGCTCGTTCTAGGGAACTCTGAAAGGTATCTATTATGTAATTCCTCTCCTCCCTCATTGCAATCTCTCTCTAAATCAAGCAAAGCATTCTAAATATAACTTCCATTTCTCTAAATGGGTTTTTTATAGAGAGAGAGAATAGCTTTTTAGAGAAAAGGAGAGAGAGAGGGGGGGATGGATTCTTAGAGAGAGGGGAAAGTGAATGGATTTTTAGGAGAGAAGGGGGATGGATTTTTACAGAGGGAGAAGGGGCGGTCGGGGTGGGGAATGAAGTGGGTGAGTGACCACATGTTCCCGCCCCTTTTCGCAAAACTTTTCATTTCCCAATATTATTTTTGGCTTTTAAATTTTTCAAAAAAAATATTTTAGTATAATTTTTTTACAAAAAATATTTTTTTACAAAAAATATTTTTTTTGACCTACAAACAAAAGAGAGATTAAAAAAAAAAGAGGCTTCTAATTGGGCCTGGCCAGACTTATATTTGGGCCAGTCCAAAATGCACATTTCCGAGTCAGTGGACGGGCCAGGCTTAAATATAGCAGTTTTCAAGCCAGGCCGAACATCCAAGCTCAGGCCGAATTTTTTTGGGCATTTAATGGGCCCAGGCCGGGACAGCCCGATGGCAGCACTACTTACAAGTGTCCAAAATATATCCTTTAATTTACAGAAATAAACCTTAATATAATCTAGGATCTTCAGTTATATGCCATTTTCAGAAAAAATACAATATATGAAATTGAATCAAGAAATATGGAATCATTAGATTACCAAATTACCTTGCCAACCCCAAGAACTTCATACACCCCACTTTGGGTCACTTCCATCGATGGCACACGGGATCGAGGTCCTCAAACTTGTCTCAGAATGTGGGAAGCCTAGGCAAACCTTAATCTCTATGAGAGCATCAAACGAATCTTTGTATATGGGATGGACTAATCTCCAGGCCTAGGCAAGCTAGGGCGTGCCACCCCTTTTTCCTATGGCCTT